TGTGGTATGTACGCCTCTTCTTTGGTGGTCTGAAGTCAGGGTTTTGGCCAACTCCCCTATGCGAACTACCAACTGGTCCATCAACCCGGTTATAACCCAGGATGTCGGCTTTACATCCCCTCACTTTGGTGGGAAAACACCTCCGCCACGGACAACTAATCAGAATGTTTTCCATCTCTGCACATATTGGCACAACCTATCGTTGTGAGCTTAAAATGGGCATCACACCTCGCGCACCTAATCGTGTATATTATGTATGGGCAAAATGAAAACAAAACGTTCTGATCAGTCTGGTTGTGGTCAAGTGGTTACCAGGATTAAATGGGTAGTCGTTCAGCGGTTACTGCTCAAAATAATAAGCAATTGGTGCAAATTAGCGCAAAAGTGCATTCTTTCTAACAAATGATTATTTTTCAGGGTGATATTCGTTCTGGTCAATCTAGGTCTTCTAATAAATGATGTTAAGCAACTATACGATTGTTTCGTAGAAATATTTCGCTGCGCACTAGTCATATAAAATCCCCAGTCATCAACGGAGTAAAAATGTAAAGCGCAATGAACGTAAAAATGAACCTTCGCAATTCAACCCTGAGTTGTGCGATTCGTTAAATAAGCATTTCGTAACATAGCCATACCCAAATTCAATTAATCATCCAAGCGTTTTCGGTCTACAATTAAGGAAGAGGCATGCATTCGAGTGACAGAAGGAAAAACATGAGTGGATGCTATTTCCAATATGTTGTGTTCAGTATTATCTTATCCCTTCCCGTGAAAACAGTGAACAATAAAAGATACTTGTTTGGAGCCATTTTTGACAATGTTTATGCATCAACATCTTACAAAATATTGTCACTTCTAGAAAAAAAGAATGAGTAAAACGTCTTGGATCGATAATGCCGATTAGAGTGCTTAGTGAGGCACCAACTGGTAGGAGCGATAAATCTGTGATGGTTCATTGTTTCCCATTCAAAGCACTTTTATGCAACCATATTATGGTAGAGATGAC